GGGAGCCGGGGAGAGGCTCAAAGGAGCCCTCGGAAGCCTCCTTTGGAAGCGATGCGCGGCCACCCTGGGCCATTACTGGCGTCCGTGGGGGGCTCCGGGGGGGGGGGGCTCGGCTTAGCCGGGAAAGAGGGAGGGTTGGGGGTGCGGAAGAGAGCCGGGTGCGTTTCAGACCGGCTTTGTCCGTCTGTGCCGGGATGGAGCTGGGTTTCGACAACGTTGGCTACTGGCCCCACGCTCAGGCTGCAAAGGGGGTCCTTTTCGTCCTCAGTTCTGGGGCAGGGCCCCCAATCCCTTGGGGCTCAGCTCCCAGCGTTCCCCACCGGCCTCCACCCCACCAGGGACTTCTGGGAATCAAAGCCCCAAACATCCGGAGTCTACCTTCTGCCTCACCCCGATTTCTAGTCTTTCCCAACGGTTGCCTGCAGATCTGTCGTCCACACGCCGCATCATCTGCCTTCCAAAGATGCTCGAGTGGGGCATGAATATTGTGGCATCTCCTCTGAAGGTTTCCCATGGAGATTGGCGTTCAGGGATAGACAGAGGCTGTCCATGGAGGTTCTATTGATCAAAGACAGCTCCTCCTCCATGAAGTTGTCAAATCTTTGTGTGTGCGTGTCCATCAGTATCTTGTGACAGTGAGTTCCACATGCTGGCTTGCTTTTGTCAAGTCCACGCACACCAAAGACCATAACAAGAGTGTTGGATTGCCTCAGATCAAGGGGTGGCCAAGTCAAAAAATCACAGGAAGGCGCCTCATCCCAAGTCGGACCATGAAATGCCTCCAAAGATGCCCACACGTTTGTCCAAAGAGAGAAAGGAGAATGCCTACACTCTAATCCAGACAAAATTCGGAGCGAGCTTAGAAGTGGAATTCGGGAAACCCCACTGAATTTGTGTTTTGCTGTTTGCACATTCCAAAGTACAACTCCGATCAGCCAGTGTGGCCAATGGGGGCGATTATGGGATTTCCTGGCCCGTATGTTCCGGGGAGCCAAACGTTCTCCGCCACATCTCAGTGCAGCCGCCACTCCGCTCCTAAGCTCGCCAGCACGATTAGAATAAAGCCGTCGCGTTTCTGCTTGTGCCCATTTCCCAATCATTACTTGGAGAGCGAAAAAAAGATCTCTCTCTAATGTGCATTTAAAATAGCCGCTGTTACCAGCCGCCATTGTCGGGGAAAAGCGCTCTATGATTATGCAGAGGGTATTAGCAGGAAGGGACGGGGAAGAAACCAGTTTACTTTGTCCCTGGGAAAGGGATAGAAGGAGGTTTAAGGATCTCAGAGGAGAGCTTGGAAATATTAAGTGAGGCATGGGGGAAGCGTTGCTTGAATACTCTCTGGGGATTAAGGGAATGTAGGAGCGGGCGAGGGGAAAGAATCCTCTTTAATGACGGCGAGATCCGTTCCTCATCGGGGGATTCCGACGAGAGGGAAACGCGGCCTCCAGCGAACCCTCGGAATGGAAATGGCCCGGCACAGGGACTCTTCCTTCCACCCAAATGCCTCCATCTTCAGTCTAATTCCGGCCTCGTTTGCAATGCGGAGCTCGGGGCGGCGGGAGGGTGGCGGGGCAGGAGCGTCGCCTGGCCGAGCCGAGGAGCACCGCCACCCTTCCGGAAGGCCTTTGTCCCGGGAGAGCAGAGGTGGAGCGGCTGGCAGCTGCCTTGTCCGTGGCACCGCTGCAGCCCTCCTGGGCCCTGAGAGGGCCCTGCCCGTTCCTGGGCCAGCCCCCTTCCCACGGTGGTTTGGTGGATTCCCGGCTTTAAACAGTCCGTTCCAAGGGGCCAAAACGCCTTTCCGTAAGTCTTGGTAGGAGCTCGGAACTGAGGTAGGTTGATCCTTCAAAGCAGTGCAAGATGCTAGTCCTCTTGGCTCTGAAAGAAGGGCTGATTTACGTAAGTGCCGTTTGACCCGGTTTGGCCCTTTGGAGATGGGACACAAATCGGAGCTGCCACCTGCATCACAGCCGGCGCTTCTCCGGAGCTTGCAAAGGCAGCGTCTCTCCAGAAAGTCCTTCCTCCCTCAGCAGAAAGTGCATATGGCTGTGCTATTTAATTTGGATTTAAGGGCCGGGGTGGCATAGTGGTGAAGAGCGTGGGACTGGGGCTCAGGCGATCCGGGTTCGAGTCCCCGCTCGGCCGTGGTGCCAAGTGGGGGACTCTGGGCCAGTCAGACTCTCAGCCTGGCCTGCCTCGCAGGGTTGTTGTTGCGGTGAGGATAAGATTGAGAACAGAAGCAGGAGAATGAGGTTAGCTTCCTGGAGTTCCCGGGAAGAAAAAAATGCACAATATAAATATAATTAATCAATAAAATGCACACTTTGACCACGGCCACATGGGAACGCACTTGCCCCCCAAATGGGTAAGCGACTGTGAGGATTCCCTTTTCTTAGGCAAGTTTTGTCGTAAGCTTCAAAAATGGAGGCAACATTAAAAAACAGGAAAGGGGATTCAAGCTGAAGGATGCGTTTCAGGCTTTGTACATGAAGTGCGAGTGACCCCGTGCACCCTATCTGGGGAGGTGTGAAATTTTCGTGGAAACTTAAGCGCGCCAAAGTTGCACTGTTCAAACACAGATTAGGAAAATGAGAAATAGGACAAAATTGGCGTATTTGGAAGTTTCAGCTTTAGTGAAGCCCCAGACTAGGGCGCCCTGAATGCATCTCATGGCCAGCTTCGGAGAAGAAGCGGGGCAGGGTTGCCAGACAGAAGAGTTCCTAAATTTAGATATTCCTGGCAGCTCCGTCGCCTCCCGTCCCTCCGATATCCCCATGCAACCTCCCCTCCGTGCAGAATTGATGGCTCTTTATTGTCCTCCTCTCTCTTTCCACCGCCCCCCATGCCCCCGAGACTCGGTGGCCTTTCCTGCCCAATAAGCCCCCCTCCAAACCTAAAATAAAGCTATCGATGGCCGAGATGGGTTTGCCTAATTGTGCTTCGCGTTCCAAAGCTGCCTGCGTTTATCGTAAAGGGCGCACATTTCCCAGCTTCTGCGTGCGCAGCCAGAGGCCCGGAGGCCCCAGCTCAGAAATGGAGAGAATTAATTACTTTTTTTGAGGGGGGACGAGAGAAAGAGGAGAGCTCCTCTCCTTCTCGAGGAGGGGGAGAGGGCGATGAAGTCCCAGAGGGCGGAACGCGGTGGCACGGGGTGGGGGGCCGCGGAGACGCTGGCGCACGGGAGGAGCTGGCCGCTCCGGAAGGAAGTGAGGAGCCGGTCGGCACACTCATTTTCAGGTGCGCCCGCTCAGTCCTGTGGGAGGAAGCCTGCCCGTTCCGTCTTCCCCTCGGCGGCTACCGAGAGGGTACCGGAGGGATGTGGCCCTGCAGGAACACTGGGGAGGGGGCAGGCCCTCTGGGCTGGCGAAACCCCCCGGCGATGGCGTCAGAAGTCTCTTCTTGCAGGCATCGGTCAAAGAGCCGCAGGCGGCCTGCGTGAGAGTCCTCCACGCTGGACCAGGGAAGCGGGGCCTCTCCTCCGGAGCTGTGGCTCTCCCCCTACAGTCGAGCTAAGCCACCAGTCCTCTTGGTGCTGAGGGGTGGGCTGAGTTGGATGGGAGCCCCAGAGGCTGCCTGGGGCCGAACCCCAGGGCCGTCAGGCTGGAGGGCAGCTGCCCCACTCCAGGGGCTCTGGAGGAATCTCGCCAAGCCCTCCCCGGATCAAACCTTGTGCGTGTCACGCCAAGGAAAGCGGGCAGCCCTCTGGGGAGCCCTGGAGGGCCAGGCCTGTGCTCGAAGCAGGCCAGATTGGGTCTGGGGTCTCTGATTGTGCCCCCGCACGGGAGAAGACCCTTGGAGTCCCCCAAGACTCTGGCTCAGCTGGGCTCTTCCCACACCCTCGAATGGGTGGGCGTCCAAGGTGCAACAGCGGATGCACCTCCACACTCAGGGGAGGACTGTACCAGTGCTGGCGCACTCGGGAAGGCCTTCTGCCTCCCTGCTGGCCCATCCGTTCCCCAGAAGGAGCATGCGCCTCCGGAGCCTCTCGCTGCGCCAGGCGAGGCCTCTCAGAGCCCGAAGGGGAACTGGAAGGGAGCGATTGATAAGCGGGGAGGGGGAAGGGGGCTGCCAATCGCCATGATTGACGGGATGCCAGATTTCCTTCCCGATAACACCCCTGTCGGATGCCGAGAGCCCATTGATTTTCTGTTAGCCATGGTAATGCTCCGAGAAGTGATGCATTATCCAAAAGCAAGGTCAAGTGGGGGGAGCCGCAGCCCCCACGTCGGGAGCTCAGGTCCTCGGCCCCGTTTCAGACAGAGCTTGCGGGGTACTCAGGATGTTGGGATTAAGCGGGTGCCCAACCCGGCCAGCCGGAGGGTCCCTTCGCGGTGGCTTGCCTGCACAGGGTGGGCCACAGAAGCATCCAGCAAGCCCCCAGCCCCTCAGAGGAAGAGAAGGTGCTGGGGGGGGGGGTCTCCAGCATTGTTCCCAGGAGGCCAGAATTGCAGAGGCATCCAGGCTGCCCCACCCCCCGGAATCCAGGCTGAAGCCCCCAGGGTCCCCGACCAAGGCCTGGAATGGCTCCACGGGGCCCCTGTGGGGAGCAGGAGCTGCCCCGTCCCCTGGGCAGCGCTTCCGTGCAGGGAGGGGGGACGGAATCGGGCGCAGTCGCGATGCAGGACCCCCACCTCTCGCTCGCGGGGCCCAGTCCTCTCCCCCCGCTCTCCCGGGGCCTTCAGCAAGGGCCCTTCCGGAGCTCTTCCAGGCTGCCGTGTGCGCAGAGGCAGGCGGTCGGCCGGTGGGGAGGGGGCCCTGGGCTTGGCGAAGGGGCCGCGTCCTGAGTGCCGCCTGAGGCATAGTCCACCCCACGGGAGGTCAGTGGGCGGCAAGAGCTCCCGTCCGCCGCGCGCCGGACTCGCAGCATTGCAGGCTGGCGCGCTGACGGAGCCGATGTGGCCACGCTCCCGCCTCGTAACTTCATCCCGGCCGCCCCCCGCAGCCCCACCTGCTGCGCCACGTGCCCCCGGGGCCGCCTGACCCGCCCTCCCTCGCCCCCGCAGGTGATGAGCATTCTGAGCAACCCGAGCGGGGTCCCCCCGCAGCCCCAGGCCGACTTCTCCATCTCGCCGCTGCACGGCGGCCTGGACGCCGCCAACTCCATCTCGGCCAGCTGCAGCCAGCGGAGCGACTCCATCAAGTCCGTGGACAGCCTGCCCACCTCGCAGTCCTACTGCCCCCCCACCTACACCACCACCGGCTACAGCGTGGACCCCGTGGCCAGCTACCAGTACGGCCAGTACGGCCAAAGTAAGTCTTGCGCTTTTCGCCTGGGGGGGGGGGCACTGCTTCGGGTACACCTGGGAGGGGCAGGAACTCACTCAGAGAGGCAGCGGGCACCCTCCTCCAGGCTCTGGCTGGACCGTGGGAGGGGATGCGCCCCCCCCCCCCCACTCTGCACTGGGCAGGCCTGGCCTTGCGCTCTGTCCAATGATCACACCTCCCTCCGAGAGGGATTAGGACAAGGTCAGAGAAGGGTAGCGAAGGGGACTAGAAACTTGAGCTCCTGGAGGAAAGATGGAAAGAGCTGGCAAGTGGAGCTTTAAGAAAAGAAGCCTGGGAGGTTAGGAGAAGTTTTGCAGTGGGTGTCTCAATGTTTTTCTAATTCAGCTCAGCCCGGACTTGGAGGATTCTTGGTTCTCAGGGAAATTCTCCTGGAAATTCGCCCAGGGTGGTTGTGTGCTGTTTTCCTAACACAGGAATGGCCATTCCCCAGTTTGCGTGTGATTTTATTGTATTATTATTCATTTAAAGTTGTTTATATGCCGTCGGATACTAAAAGTCTCTGGATGGCTTGTAAAAATCGAGCCGCTGCCCCAGCGTCGCGGCGTGGAAGGCCCTGAAAGCCTGGGAGGATGGGGCTGCCTTAACCTGAGGCCGAAAAGCAGGCAGTCTCATTGCTAGGCGGGCCTCGGTGGGGAGGCTGCTCCATGCCTGGGAGCCACCACCGGCAAGTCCCTGCCCTTGTGGCTACTGAGCCGGATGACAGGAAAGCGGGAGACGGCGATTATCCCGTCTGGATAAACGGAGCTGAGGAGGCAATGCCTTCGGGATGACGATGACGACGAATAGTCATCACTTTAGTCCTAAGTCAACAAGCATCTTCAACTTGACTCGAAATTTCCCAGGAAGTGGGAAGCCACGGGGGCAACCAAGCCGGAGCCCAAGTCGCCTGCGGCAAGAGGCCGGCTCCTTCGGCAGCCCCCACGCATTTCCCGGGCCCCCAGACCCGGGCAAGTCTCGCCCCGATGCCTCACCTGCCGCCATCGCCAGCAGCACCCCCTCCGTGTGCGACCGGCGAGGCTCGAGTGCCCCCCCTCGGCCACTGCCCCCGCCAGGCTGAGCTCCCCTCCCGGGGGCCGCGGCACCTTGTCCGGCTGCTCCGTCGCCCCTTCCTCTCGCAGCGCAATGGGAAACAGCTGCGGGGCAGGAACCTGCCCGGCCGCCTTCTCCCCCCTCAGCGCTTGGCTGCTCCCGTTTTAAGCCTTTCGCCTCCTGCTGGGGGGAAAAGTCCGGACCTTGATCTGTGACCCCCCGACCTTCCTCTCGCTTCTGGAGGCGAGGCCTGGTCACACGTGCTCTTGATCAAAATCTTAAACAAATTCCGATGCCATGGACGTCCAGTAAAGATGCCCCGGGGCGAGGTGTTAGTCACACCGTGTGTGTGTGTGTGTGTCGGGAGGAATGCGAAAGGAGGCAACGCAAGGGCGCTGGACAGCCCCTGTCCCGCCTCGCCGTCACCTCTCCAAAATGTCTGCCCATCCCCAGAATCCACTTCTGGAGGGGAAGCGTTTGGGGAGCGAGAGCTGCCGGAGGTCAAGGTCATCTCAGTCGGGGGGGGGTCCCCGGAAGGGGCCGTGCCCGGTGCCCCCCAAAGCCCACGGCCGGCAAAGCTTAATTCAGTCCTTTGCCCGGGCGAAGGGGCCCAGCGACCTCCTCACTAAGATTCGGGGTCCCCGATGAGCTTTCCACTTTTCTTCCCACAGGCGCTGGCAGAATCCTCTCCCAAAAAGCAAGGCGGGGGGGGGGGCTGGGGGTCTCAGAGGAGCTAGGCGGTGGCGGGAGGGGGAGCTCTCCCGGCTGCCTGGAAGAGGAAAGCCGCCGCTGCTCCAAAAGCTAAGCGGCGCCTAGAGCAGGTTGCACACCTCTCCGGCCACACTCCCAAATCTCCAGTTCCCACGGAGAATTCGTTCCCCCGCCGGTCCTGCTCGGCCTCAGGCTTTGTGCTCCCCAGTCTGTGCTCGGTGGGGAAGGGCCCTCCGATTGCGTGGGCCGAAGGGCAGCTCCCGGGGGGCCCCAGCCACAGCCCGGGACCCGTGGCCGAGCCTCAAAGCAAGCCCCGATCCCTGCTGGCCTGTGTCTTCCACCCCCGACCCACGGCGGCTGATAATTATTATTATTATTATTATTATTATTATTATTATTATTAGAACATTTCTATGCCACCCCTTGCCGAAGCCTCGGGGCGGCTTACAACACAATAAAATACAATAAAATACAAAAATAACAATATAAAATTAAAATTAATATTATAAAATAAATAAGAAATATAAACGATATAAAGTTAGAAAAGAAAAGAAAGGAAAAGAAGTCGCCCTGGCCAGATAAATAAGTAAATATTGTTAACAATTAAAATGACCTTTAAATAAAAAGGTCTTCACCTGGCGCCGAGAAACAAACGATGACGGTGCCAGGCGGACCTCTCTGGGGAGCGCATTCCATAGATTGGGTGCCACCGCAGAGAAAGCCCTCCTCCGAGTACCCACCCTCCTAATTTCCTTCACGGAGGGTTCCCGGAGAAGGGCCTCTCCCACAGATCTCAAGGGCGGGTAGGCGTATATGGACGTAAGTGCTCCTTCAGGTAACCAGGACCCAAGCCGTTTAGGGCTTTATAGAGCTGGGGGGCCTCTGTCCCAACAGTGGCAAGGGGGAAACAACGCCACCGCCAACCCGGGAGGGAGGGGCTTCCCAACCCAGGGCCTCGCCGCGCCCCAGCTCACTTAATGTCCGGCAGGCGGGGGCAAGCGACTCGGCCTCCCCCCCACCAACCGAGAGAGCAGGATCGCCGCTTTCCGAGGCCCAGGGATGCCGCGGCGGCATCAGCCAGGACAGCCCTCCTGCCAGGAGGTGGGCTCCGCTCGGGGAAAGTCCTTCCGCCCAGTTGGGGGGCTCCCCCCCCCCCGTGACTCTCAGAGGGGCCTTTCGGGCTCCTGGGGGAGCTTCTGTGGAACGGAGGAGCCCTGTCCGCCAGCATTCCCGGCCGGCCGGCCAGCCCAGTTTGAGCTGGCAACCTATTCTCTCCCCTCTGCGCTGGAAACGCTCGCCTTCTCCCCCAGTGCTGGGGGGATCGGGTTGCCAGCCAGAGTCCCAGGCTGCCGTTGGCGTCTCTCTGAACCTCGTGGGGTGGCGGGAGGTGGGGGGGACCCAGCCGCCTGCTGGGGCCAAGCAGAGGAGCACAGACCGGGTCTGGAGAAGGGGGGTGCTGGGGGGGGTATGAGATTGGAGCCGGCCTGGCCGTTCCCAGAGGCTGAGGCCGTGCTAATGATGGCGATGGCGGAACGCAGAAGCGTGAAAGGATTCCTAATGGATGTGACAAGTCTAATAAGAATTTTTGCCTGGAAGGGACCCCCCTTTGGGGCAAGCTTCTGACAAGATGCTGATGGCTGGAATTTGTTTACTCCTTGGCACTGATGCCGCCTTTCCTGCCAGATTCTTATTAATCTAATTTGAGACGTTAGAGTTCGGAGATTGGGGTGTTGGGGGGGGGGAGAATTTGACGGAAGCTCAACTAATAAAGCGTGTCACCATCCGGCTACTGGATGACGGGGCAAAACGAAAATTCAAAAAAATGGCAATTTGCTGGCCAACGTGGGGAGATAAGGCTTCTCCGGGCTACCCAAAAGTCACCTGTGTAAGCCGGGATGCTGGACTCCATGGACTTGGGTCTGATCCTGCAGGGATCTTCTATTTTTAAAGCCCCCCTCAGGGAGGGGCTCCTTGGATCCCTGGAACACCCATCCAGGAAGTAATTCCCGTGCTTCTGACACGCGGTCTCCATAGGGCGAGAAAGGCCGGGCTGGAGCGTGGCTCTTGCAGTGCCGGAATCAGGAGATCTGGCTGTCCGGTGGGCCTCCGCCAAACTGCCCAAAACCATCCTGCCTTTCGGGCCATTCACACGTTCTCTGTGTCGGTGTTCTCTCTCCTTCCCTTGGTGTCTCCAGCTGCTGTTGACTATTTGACCAAGAACGTGAGTCTCTCCACACAGCGCAGAATGAAGCTTGGGGAGCACTCGGCAGTCCTGGGCCTCCTGCCCGTGGAAACGGGCCAGGCGTACTGACGGGCCACCTGGATGCCTCCTTCCACCACAAGAGTCTGCCACCAGTGGGACCAAACGAAAGGACGGACGGAAGGAGGGAGGGAGGGCGCCCCACGACGACCACCGTTTCCCCAAGACCCCCTTCGATCCCGCCGCCTCCTCGAACTCAGACCAACAGACCTTCCCAGCCCTGCCTCCACTTGACCGACGGAATCGGAGAACTGCCCGCGTGTCCCAAGGCTCCGTGTGTGTGGCCGCTGGGAGGCCGGGCCGGGCCAGGCGGCGCTGGCGGACTCCCGGATGCCGAGAGACCCGCTGGGTCCGCCGAGCCCTTGGCCAGCCCGCCGAGCCATCTCCACACACGACCGCCGCGAACGGACCTTCCGCCCTTGGCGCCCCGGCGGTTTGTCTCTGTGGAGCCTCGTCTTCTGCGTAATTATGTACATATATACATATACTCCTTTTGTCTACCCCCGCCCTCCCACCCCCCCCCCAGCCCCGTTTCGTTCTTTCTGCCTGTGAAAGGGGAATTCCACCGATCGATTGAGTGCTGGTCTGGGGACCAAAGGTGAGAGGTTTGGACCAAAAATGGAGGCGTGCTGCAAGCGAACGTCCGATCCACCCAGAACCAGGGACCAGTTTGACCGAGCTGAGGGGGGAGGGAGCAGACGCTGGCGGCAAATTTCCCCCCACGCACATGTAGGGACCACTGTAAATGCAGGCGTGGGGGACGGATTTTGGGAAAGGTGGGGGCTAGGCAGGAAACGGTGAGGAAGGGTCTGCCAAGAGCTCCCACGGCCCGCATGCGGGTTTCCCAGGGGCTGCGTTTGTGCCGGAGCAGGGAAACACGGGCAGATCTGCCCGGGATGTTCTTATGTAGTGGAACTGGGGCTCGCCGGGACGAAGCCCCTGGACCTCTTCATTACCAGAACACGGGGTTCTTCTGCCCCCGTTCTCAGATTTCCCAATTCCTTCTGTGTTAGCCGCAGCCCTCGCAATTGCTGAGCAAAGTGGATTTTCCACACGGACAAGGTATTATTCCTTGCTCAAAGCAACGTGCTCCAAGTGGCTTCCCTGCTGAACGGCCCACTAAGAGCTGGACGTTTTTCAAAATACCTGCTCATGGTGTGGCTGCAAACCACCAGGACTGGCTGGTCGCTCCAGATCAAAGCAGCAGTTCTGGATTCTCCTTGGACCATGAATTTTATGAGTGGAGACGCTTGAAAATTTTCCCTAACACCAGTGCTTGTGTTCTTGCGAGGTTCGCTCAGACAGAATAAGCTCCACACCGAGGGGCACAAAAATTTTTAACAGAGGAGGGCTGGGCACCCAGCAGGGCGTCTTGTCGTGGACTGGCAAACTGCCTCCGTCTCCCCCTGCGAGGGACTTCATAGCTGCTCCTTGTTGGCCGAGCCGTCCCAGAACCCCCATGCTCTGGATCCTGCGGCCCGGGAGGGATCGGTTCCCTTGGAAGAGCACAGGCCCCCGGAAGAGCAGCCGGCCCGGGAGGGTCAGCCCAAGCTTGGCCCACGGGACGGTGCAGACTCTCCTTCCGGGGAGGACGGTCCGGGGTGCTGGAGAGGCAGTGGAACTGGCTCCCGGAGAAAAGGCAGTCCGGACGGAGCCGGGGGAAGCTTAGCGAGCGAGCGGCGAGGGGAATCTCTGGAGGGGCTCGGGCAGGGGGCTCCCACAGCGCCCCTTGGGCGAGGCCCTCTCGGGGGGGCCCTCAGGGTGCCCACAGGGAAAAGAACACCAAGCTGTGCTTACACATGGTGCCTCGGCCCCCCCACAAAACCCTCCCCCTTGGCAAGGGCCCCCAGCGTCCTGCCCCGGTGCCCCAGTTCGGACAACAGGAGCCGGCACAGACGGGGCGGCAGCTGCCCTCTGGCTCGGAGAACCCAGGTTCAACGGCGCGGCTCCGCCGAAGGCCCCGCCTGATGTTCAAAATAACCAAATTGCACGACGCGCCACGCCCTCTTCACCTGCCCCACAGGGCAGTCCCCAAACACTGCGGCTTCTGCCCCATGGGTGGCGGTGTCCCTGCGTTTTCCCTTTTCTTAGCCGTAACTGTCGATCAGGGCAACGTTTTGTCAGAAGTGGGGGAAACACGAGACAAAGTGGGTGGGGGGGGGGGAGAGAACCTGGGAAGGAAGGAAAGCCTATCCCCCCACCAAGGCCCCCTTGAGAGGTTTTGCTTCTCCGATTCCCTGCAGCTGTTCGGACCGCCTTCCCCCAAGTTCAGAGCCCCTGCGCGGTGAGAAAGGACCGATTCCGGGCAGTCCCGAGATGCCAAAAGACGGGGCTGACCCTGGCCCCCTCAGGCAAGCTGCCCCCCAGCTAAGAGGACCCCTTGCCATCGGGTGGGGGGGGCCACAGCACTGCTCTTCCTCTTTTGCCCCCCCCCCAGCCCCCTTTTGTGTATGCTTGCTGTGAGGCATCCCTGCACCATTTCCCTCCGAATCACAAAGATTTTAGGGTCCCCTGGAAATAGAGGCATATCACTCAAGGCCCCAAGATGGTGTCTCAGGCAGAACCAGGGCATTCTAGGTGAGGGGCAGGAAGCATCAGGCCTTGGGGAGGGGGAATCCAGTCCTGCTGCCTCCACCCCCCCCCCTCCATCCCTGGGTCTTCTCCCAGCTCGTCCCGCTTCCCCCATCCCAGAATGCCTCTTCCGGAGGCTCAGTGGCCATCGGGAAAGTTCTCAGCGGAAAGGCTGCGTTACTTTGCGTACGCTGGCCATGGGACCGTGACCCCCCGCACTCCCCCGAAATGGGATCCAGCCCGCAGGCAGGCAGAGGGGGGAGACCCGATCCCCAGTCCCCGGTGCCCTCGCCGCTCACCGAGTTCTTGGGAAGGGAATGACCGCGGGGACATGTCCCCGGAAGTCTTCCTCCACCCCGGAAGGAGGCACTGTACCCCCATCCTCGCCCCGAAAAGCCAAGCCTCGGACCTGCAAATCCGAAGGACAGAGAAGGGGAAGACGGGACCCCCGGGGGCTGGCCTGGGCTGGGCGGCCGAGTCTTCGTTCCGCGGTCTTTGCAGGTGGCACTTCTGGAAACGAGTCGGGGTCTCGGTCCCACAGCGCAGGCATGAAGGCACATAAGGCCGGCATTTTCTCTAGCGTTCCTTTCCTTGAGCAGCTTAAACAGAGTGTGCACACACAAAAATAGATATCACACTCATGTGTAGGCTTAGACTTCAGCAGCGGCTTGAGAGGCGGAGAAATCCTTGGGATGCGCGTTCAGAGAGGCTTCTGCCGGCCGAGCACCAGGTGCCTGCTGTGGTTCAAGGAAAATGCAATGCTAAGCTCTCCAGATCGGGGTCACTGCAGGTTTGGGGTGGCCCCAGGGCCAGTCTCCTTGCTCACAGCTGCTGCTTTTGGGCAGTCTTCGAGCTCCGCCTCGCTGAAAGCACAGCGATCCAGCACTTAGAGCTTTAGCCAGGAGCAGGCTGGCATTCTGGCTCCACCCACTTTGGCCCTGGCCCCGCCTACTCCAAGACCCCTCCCCCCCATGGGGCCACCCCCAAGGTGGGGAAGGTCCAGCACTCCTGGCTGGAAGAACCGAACGGCGGGGAAGGTCTGGGGGAGTCATTTCCCCCCCTTCCCAAAAGAACGGGGTGGGGGGCTCTTCTGGAGAGGCCCCCCCAACTCTAGATCGCCCCAGTGAAGAAGCGCTAGATGCTCACGTCGCCTCACCCAATGGGGGGGGTGCCCTCCATGCGCAGGGGGTCTCCCACGCCCTCCGCGGCCCCCGCCATCTAATGGGCAGGCTGGAAAGGGTCCTGGAGCTCCCAGCATGCCCCAGTTGGCTCTGGCTGGGGCATGCTGGGAGTTGTAGGACCTGAGGACGCTTCTGCAGGACTTCACCCCCACTCAGAAATGTCTCTTAGAAAGACTATGTGGCAGGGAACGGCAAGAGCGTCTCCTAACAGACAGTTCAGCGCACGAGGCAACGGCTCGCTTAAATATACCGAATTTCTAGGGAGGAGAAATGCGCAGAATCCGGCAGGAGAAGCACGGTCTCCCTTCTTTGACATGCATCATTCCCACCCCACGTGTGTGTGTGTCTCTTTTCCCTCCCCCTCTCCCCCCAAAGGTCCTGCACCCACCCCAAACAAGCCCCCTCTGCTCAGAGATTTTGTGTATGTTTCTAACTTGTCACCCCTTAACAACTCCATATACCCACACCTGGAGAAATATTATCTGTAGAACATATCTTTATTCCTAGTAATTGCAAATATGTTGCTTCTGTGTTCGCGTCATAGCTAATTTTTGCCCCCATATGTACATGTGAGTGTATGCGTCTTGTGTACATGGCAGAGGATGTGAGGGAGAGAGAGCGTTCGTGTGTGTGTATAAATATATAAATATAAAGCACCCCCTAATTTATTCAGCTATATGGAGTCGTAGATTAGAGGAACAAAACTGGTATTTGCTTTAATTACAGCCCTGCCCGTAGATTGTCTCTCGCTGTAACTCAGGCGTAACCGTTATACATTAAAAAAGAAAAAAGCTTTTGCTGGTGTCATTTTTCATACTTTCTCCCCCCACCCCAGTTTGGTGCCCCGGGGTAAGTCTGTGCAGAATGGGGTCGCGCCCACCTGGCCCCAGGAAAAACCATGTCCGGTGGCAGGAAAGGGGTTAAATTTGTTATTTGCCTCCCGGAGCATCCAGGTTGGCAAAATGCCCCCAGCAGCCCCTTCTGCATGAACACGCAACTCAAAGTGCGCTTACCTGAGCCTTTTGAACTTGCTGGTGTTTTTGGGGCCCAGTCCTTGGCCCAAACTCCAACCCGGCCTCCTTCCAAAATGTGCCCGCTGAACGATCCCATGCATGTCTTCATACCAGGAGGGGAGCGTTGGGAATGTGCATTTGGGATGCCCCAGAAACAGAGCGAGTCAGAAGGGGCCTCCTGGGCCGCCTAGTCTGACCCCCGGCACCAGCCAGCTCTGCTCACGACATGCCCACCATGTGGACATCCAGCCTATCCTTGAACACCCACACCGATGGGGCCTCAGCC